AATTAGCGCATTGGTCGCGCGCCATCTAATAAGCAGGTCAAGTGGGAAGAGAAAGAGTAAGCGAAGAAAAGGTCGATTGTGGAAGCGAACGAGACACAGACGGTTCTAAGTCGATCAGCGGTGAAGACGGTTTTCAGTTGGTCAGCGGTGCAGAGTTGAGAGTGCAGAGATCAGCCAAACGCACACGCCGCCAAGGAGCTGAGACGAGAAGCCGAGAGGAACAAAAGACAAGTGCCTTTTCCAGCATCTGCTGGGGACGCTACCCGAAGAAGCCGGCAAAGAGTTGCCCAGCGACGACCAGCAACACCATCCGCAGGGCGCAGCCAGGCCTCCCGTTCTTGCATCGATAAGGTCAAGGCTTGTAATCTTCTTTCTTTTTCTCCCTCTCTCTTAACGGTATGGCACAGCGAGTAGTTATAATGGTCAGGTAGGTAGCAAGGCATGTACTCGCCGGCTACCTGCTTCAATTACGGTTTGCATTAATTTTGTTAACGTCAAGGCGATCCCTCGTCGGGCGGCTTTCTCTTTTAGTATAAGTAGGCTAAGTCGGTTCGTCATCAAGGCGGTCACCTGCCGGGCGACACGTTCTGTACGTTGGTTAAATTTTATAAGAGCGGTAAATTAGTTAGTTTGTTCTTCGTTCTATTATTCTCGTAAGTGTTAAGAACACAGTTGTGTTCAGTAGAGTTAAGACGTGTTTACAACACCGCTGTATTTGTTAGAGGTTAAGAGTTTGTAAAGCTTGTTATAATTATAATTATACGGTATGTTCGTTTAACGGTATTTAAAGTGTGATTTTATTGATTTTTGGTAAATTTCATTTCTTTACCTTTCCCTCCTCCTTCCCCCCTCCTAGGTTACTATAAGCGAGTGCGCCTCACTTGCTCATCCTTAAAATTGATAAACATGCGGAGGTAGAGCTGGATTATATTTCTGTAAATATATTTATAAGAGGTAAAGCGGGACTTTATTTCTGTAAATATATTCTGTAATTATATTTGCTTGTAAGCAGTAAATGCTTGAAAATATTTTTTATTATTCTTCAAATCAATCAAATTATAGATTGTTCTATCAAGATGCTTTGCAAGAAGTAACTGCATCGAATCTTCGGTTTTGGAATATTTTATATTGTCGACGATAGTTTGATTCTTATCGAGCTGTTAAAAGGGGAAGCCCGAAAGGCTCTATTACTACGCGGGATTACAAAAAGGGTAAGATTTGTTTGGAAGGGAAGGGAACAGGAGTAGTCGATAACAAATCTAAAAATCACTTTCACTCGTCTATATTACAATAAACCTTTTTATACACGACCATTAGTCCAACCGGCCAAGGACCGCCCTTACAATAACTGCAAAGCCTCCTACCGCCTCGATGTCGAGGAATTTTAGCGAAAGACCGCGAAAACTTTTGGCGACGATGAACAAACACATCCTTAATAACTTATTCCCGATGCTGTGGTTCAGGCATAGAACCTCCAAGCTACTCTAGTAATACCGCATATTGCCGGCGACATCGTCAACGAGAGAGAAAAGCACGAACCTTGATTTGGCAGAAAATGCAACTCTGTAAGAACGAGGCAACTCGTCCACTCGTACAATACCCGTGCAATATCTCACGATGATGACCAACGACAAAGCGAAACCTCCAATCACTAGCCAAGAAGCACCCGTGCGCGTGCTAGTACTCACCCAAACTAACTTAACTGGTCGGCAGCTCTCCTCCTACTACTCTCCTCGCAAGCGTTCGGCGGTAGATATTATGCCTATCCGGACACTCTTGCGAGGCTTAGTTTCTCTCTTACCAATACAGTCGTTCATCCTTGCACTGGCTTCTTATCGCTACTTTTATAAACAAAGTCAAGTGTATAAAGTGGCAACTTACACACACGTTCGACAACAATTCAGATAAATTCGCGGAATTTTTAGAGGAAAAGAGAGACATCAATGATGCCGGTTAATGAAAGCCGTGGCTCTCATCAAAAGAGTTATCAATAGCGAAAGTATTGTCTTTTTCTTAGCGCACACTGTAAATCATGCTTAAGTAAGTACTTTTGTTCAATTTCATGCTTCGACATAGTTATTGTTCATTTTTTCATCTTCATCAGTTTATTCAGATAAGTTCTGATAATATGTTATATTATCGTGCATAATATATAAATCAGTATCTTCTTCGCTAGACTGTTCGAACTTATAATTTCCATCTGGTTTTTTCAGAAAGATTGCCTATTTATCTATCTTCTCCTCCTCACTTTTCTTTTTTTTTACTTACTAAATTTTTTAGAGCTTTGATGTTATCTATTAGAGTTTTCAGTGGATCGATGATTGGTTTGAATATACGGTTCAATACTTTGTCAGCGTCTTTTTAATTCAGCTACAATAAATTATACTTTAGTCTAATTGCGTTGTGTGTTTTCACAAGTTCATAAAGTACACTTTTTTCGTGGATGATCTTCTGTGACGGCGATACAGACGCTTTAACAATTGATCATAAACTGTATGCAATACTACCTTACTGCATGATACGAGGGGGGGTCAATAAGTCTTTACAAAAAAAAAAAGTTTTGCGTATGTAATTTACTTTTATTTTTCATCATAGTCTCCTTGAAGATCGATACATTTTATTAAATGGCCTTCCAGTTTTTTGAAGCCATCAGAAAAATATAATTTCTCAAAACCCTCAAAATAGGCATTTGTTTCGGCGATGACTTCTTTATTCGACGTGAATCGATGTCCGGCAAAACATTTTTTGAGGTTAGAAAATAAGAAAAAGTTACTGGAAGCCAAATCAGGCGAATATGGTGGATGGTCAATCAATTCGAACTTTAAATCGTTAATTTTTGCCATCGAAACTGCATACGTGTAAACTCGAGCATTGTCTTGAAGAAAGAGGCATTTTTTTTCTTCAAGTGAGGACGTTTTTCTCTGATTTTTTCATTCAGCTGATCTAATAATGACGCATAATATTGTCCAGTGATCGTCCGGCCCTTTTCCAAGTAGTTGATGTAGATGATTCCACACGCATCCCAGAAAACCGTGGCCATAATCTTGCCAGCTGACTTTACTGTCTTTGTCTTCTTTGGGGCTGGTTCTCCTGCAGTAATTCATTGTTTGAACTGTTCTTTGGTTTTAAGAGTATAGTGGTGTACCAATGTTTCGTCTACAGTTATGGGTCGACGCCAAAAGTCTTCCGGATTACGACGTATACGTGCCAAAAGAGCCTTAGAGGTGACCACGCGGGTTCGTTTGTTTTCAACAGTGAGCAAACGCGGCACCCATGTTGCTGATATTTTTTTCATTCTCAATTTTTCATGCAAAATTGAAATTATTGTACCCCTTGATACCCCTGTGGCCTCAACTAATTCTGGCAATTTTAATCTTCTATCACTCAACACCATATCGTGGATTTTGTTGACTATTTCGGGCGTACTTACTCCTACGGGGCATCCTGAACGAGGTTCATCTTTTGTTGTTGTACGACAGCGTTTAAATTCATTTACCCAGTTATAAATAGTCTTAAACACAGGGGCAGACTGGTCATGAACGGTGTTCAACTCGGCTGTGATTTCTTTTGGTGTAAGGCCTTTCAATCGAAAATGTTTTTCACCGCTCGAAACTCTGTTTTTTCCATTTTTCAAATAAACCAATAACGTTTTGTTCAACCAACGCTCACAAAAAAAGAACATAATGAATAGAGCTGCAAACTTTGTACGATATCTAGTTAGTATTATTGCTTGCCAAAAACATCATAATTTAAGCGTGACGAGCGCCATCTCTTGGATTTTGTAAAGACTTATTGATCCCTCCTCATATCTATAGCAAAGCAATCGAAGCCTATTCCTTATCTGCGGTTGTCGGTCTATCCTTATCAATTACCAAAAAACAATTTATCATCTGACCAATAATTTACAGAAATGTCCTTAAATTTATTGAAAATTATATTCGTGTTTATATGATCGGCGTAGATATTTTTCATATTTATTTCATCTTGATGAAAAATAGCTAGTAAATCAACGTTATTTCTCATGAAATGCTTGGTAATACAAAAGTACGTCTGTGAGAGATAAAAACAATTAATTCTCCAATCTTTACCCATGCAAATATAGGTATGCGTTTTGTATTGTTTCTCGCACGTGATATCGTCGAAAATCATAGAGGAGTTGGGCAATGCCTCCTCCAGATCGATGACCGTGTCATGCTCTTTAAATGGACTCTCAATTGGCCTCAAGATATCCTCCAATAATTAATATTTTGGTTGCGTGAGCGATTTCAAGTAAACGTAAACGTTTTTTAATCAGAGGCCATTGAAATGTGTGATTAATGCCAAAAAAATGGCCTATTTTACCGCAGTTGGATATTGTATATAATTCTGACAACAGCTATTCAGGAGGGTTGGGTATTCTCGTACAGATGGATCGAAACATTTTTTTATTTTGAAAATCGAATGTACAGCATTTCTAAAGTATTCTGCTAAGATTTTAGAGTAAAATTCGAAATCGTTCAGTGACTATGATAATTTTTTGTATATGCCCTTCAGTGCGCCACTGAGGTAGTAAGAACAATCCAAGTAAATTTACGGCTGTGGGGATTACCCCGCGTGTGAAGATACACTGATTAGGAAACCACCTCTAATGCATGTCGATCTCTAATTTAATAATAATTTATTGCATCTTAATTATTATAATTGTAGGACTCAAGTAAAAATATAGTTTTATATATAGTTTTCTATAGTAAAATTCTTTTCGTAGAAAATAATTGAGTTGTTCAATTCCCAAAATATTGTTCTGAATAACTTTTTATTCGCAGTTTTTTCATCTTCAATTTTTTTCATGAAAACACTAAGCCATATGGGTCTTATTGTATAAGAAAGTCGTTTCATTTTACAGACCCCTACTTCTGAGTAACTTTTCTTACATGTATTCGCATCAATTAAACGTAAATAAATAAAAAGTATGAATCAGGTACTAAAATAATGTTCTGATTACAGAGACTATTTTGGCTTACCTTCATACAGCCAGTCGGGAAATCCATTAGATACTATGCCAGGTATAGCAGTATTCGTAACGCGATAAGTTAGTTCTTCATGGGGCCCTTTTTTATAATATATATCATAGTCATATATTATCAAAAGTCCATGACCTCGAGGAGTCCATTGTGCTAATAATAAATACGGATATCTATCTTTACCATTCTGAGGATTCAATGGAATGAGTTCTCTGTAAATGACATTGATATGGACAAAACTCTTATTCAGTTAATTAGTATGTTTGTGAATATAATACTTACTTGGTATTCAAATCTATAATAACATATTGTGCCAGATATGAATAACGAAAGAGTTTCTTAAGATTTTGAGCGATTAATAGGAATTTATGATCTGGAGATAGCGAGAACTTCATAGGAGCAAGTTTTTTCTGTAAGACATTGTCAAAGTATCAATCTATGCTTATAATTATCATAAAATAAAGTTTTCAACAAAATATAGAAATATATTTGATGGTATTAGAAGTTTAATATATTAATTTTAAGAAATGTCTGTAGGTACATATATATGGTTATGTTTGTACAAAGTAAGCGACTCTTCGAATTTTTACATAACTATTAGTTTTATATTGATTGCCTAAAATACAAATTATGAGGCATACATATATCCTGCGCCATATTGTATAATAATATACTTTAAATTGATGAATAGAATTTTACTTGAGTGCACACGTGAAGTAAGATATTATTATTGGATTACAGAATAAAACATTGAGTCAACTTCGGGTAAAGATCGAAATGTAGTGAGATACAGACTTGTAACTGTCCTCCTAGTCATATACCGGCCTTATCGGGGTTTAGCCAAGAAGCTTGCGCTTAGTTAGAGTCACTCCAACCCATTCGAAAAATAGCTATGCACGCAGACACTCATGATTGCTGGGCATTAACACGCGTCAACGTACACGGAAAAACATGCTAACCGAAACCGCCCACTCTGACCGATTCCTTGCGTTTGTAGGTTATCTAGCAAGATCAACTATTAAAACCCATGCGTGGAATTTCCGATTCCTTGGCCCAGAAACAACGTTGGGACTCAATTTTATCAGAGTTGAATCTGGAGATTACTATTCGCAAGCTTACTCGGCCGCAATTTAGGCATCCGCCCGTGAGATCTTCCTTCGCAGAGACCCCAGGAACACGAGTTCGTAAATTTCCCCGACCGGTCCCAACGCTAGTCCTCCGAGACATCGTAGCCCGGTTGACTCAGCGTAACGGAGAAATCCCGCCACCTAAACCTTTCGCTTTAGTGCCTCAGATCCATTGCCGATCCGTCATGAAGGTGCTGCGGCATGATGTAAAAAAGTACCTCTTCTTCTAAGGTATCCTCTCGTGTCCAACGAGTAAACCTCGCTCGGGAAATCAGAGATATTGGTTAGCTCCCCCAAGTAATTACCTCTCACCTCATGAACTTCTGCCCCCCCCCCCTATTTTAAAAAAAATAAAAACGGCACAAGATCATCACGGTCGAGAGCGTAAGGGTGTGGCTCAGCTATTTTTGAGGCTATACAGCTCACCCTTACGACAGTCTTTAACCGCAAGTGTTAACATACTGAATAAGAAATTCTGCTATACCGTGGCGATAAGTATGAAAGTGGATATGACAAATGTAATTTTATTAATATTATTATTAATGTTACGTTTTAGTATCTTTTCCACGCCCCTCCCTCTCATTCTGGCATGTAAATGAGACTACGTAAGAGCGAACTACTCAGATGAATATTATTATTTGGTCATTTTTTCTTGTAGCTTAATAATCTAACAAGCGATCAAGACTTTTTTCGAACAGCTGTTACAAGGCTTTTAATGTTTTTTGGTAATTAAGTAAATAAAAGCATATACACACATTTTTTAAATAATTCATATAAGTAAAAAAAAAACAAATTTTGAAAATTTTCAAACCCTCTTTGATTTTGTTAGCCATAGCATACATGACTTATTTTAAAACGCAACTCGGTGTATTCGAAGATATGTAATCACGATAATTGGAATAAATAATAACGGCTTGGAAAAGTTGTATACAATTCTTTAGTTTTGCATATTTAATAGCTAATGATCGTTTGGCTATTTAGATTTTTTATGTTTTTTATACTTGTTGTACTAGATACGTATGATTCCATGCTTCATTCTCAACGTTGATTTAACAATTATGAAGAGTTGTACTATGCATGTAATAGTGCAGATGACGAAATTACACTACCGTCCATAAAGATTTGCCATCCCCTTGCTGAAATCATCAAAACTTTAGAGTTTTATGGCTCAGTTTCTATAAGAGCTAGAAAATCCTGCGGGGTCTCATTTGAAAGGTCTTGCCAAGACCTTTCAAATGTTGTAAAACATAATTGATTTTATTTGTTTTTTGTACAACTTGTGACGTCATAAACAAATTGTTTTTTTTTAATTTTTTCACATCAAATTCGACCCCGATTTATTTATATAACGGATTCTACGATGGAAAAACTGTATAAGCCATTCGATAGAGCTTTCAAAAAGCTACAAAATCCATACCCGGAAAATTTTTTTACCTTTATTTTTTATGAGCTATATGGTGTTTTATATAAAAACAAAGATTTTCAAAAAATGGGCTGTATTTTTTTTATTTTCAACTCTAAAGAAAAAACTCTCAGAAGAAAAAATGTAATATTTTGCAAGAGCTATCAAATACACCACTTAGAATTAAAAAAAAAAATTTTTTTTTTTCACGTTTTTTAGAATTGAAATTTTTCTAGAAAAAAAACTGAAATTACATATATTTAATAAAATTAGTAAGTAACTAGTATTTATAACTGAATGGGCTTACAAACAATGATAACAAGATACATTTATTGAACCATAATTTATTACTTACTCAGAATAGATTAACATAATTTGGTTACAATTTTTCTACAAAATTTATTTATTACAACGTTTCAATAATAACATAACAATAATAATTTCATTTTTAATAATACTAATAACGCTTGTAATTAATATATTATCACAATCTGAATATAAATTTCAGTTATAAACAAAAACGAAACAATACTAATTATTTAAACGTTTTTTTCATCGAAATGTCCACCTTTGTTTGCTATAACTACTTTACAAATTCGAGGCATTCGTGCTACAAGTTTCTCTAAAGTTTCTGCACTTATTTTTTTCCACTCATTTTCTAAGATATTCCAAAGATCCTTGTAGGAAGTAGGTCCTACCTTCCTTACAGCTCTATCTAGATCATCCCACAACAGTTCGATAGGGTTAAGATCAGGAGAGTACGGTGGCCATTCCATCACAACTAATTTTTTTTTCTTCTCCAATTGAGCAAAATAACTTTTACATAACTTTGAAGTATGCTTTGGATCGTTATCTTGTTGGAACGTAAATTTGCGACCAATTATTCTTGTTCCGGAAGATACAACATTTTTTTCAAGAATTTTTTTGTAACCTTCTTTTTTCAACTTGCCATCAATTTTAAGAAGGTCACCAACCTTAGAACCACCAAAACAACCCCATACCATTACTGAGCCGCCATCATGTTTAACCGAAGCACACATATTTTTCTCTAAATATTTTTGCTTATTTTTTCTCCGCACAAAACATCTGCGTTTACTACCAAAAACCTCGAATTTGCTCTCATCAGACCACAAAACTTTTTTCCAATCATCAATGGTTCAAATTTTATGTTTTCTGACCCAAGCCAATCGTTTCTTTTTATTAATCGGTTTTAGTAAAGGCTTTTTAATTGCTCTTCGACCGTATAGTCCATCTTCATGAAGTCGTCTCTTTATCGTAGTAACACTAAGTTTAACATCATACGCTTTTTGAGTTTCAACAGCAAGTTCGGGTGCCGTGAGTCTTGGATTATGTGTACTTGTACTACAAATGTGTTTATCAGTAGCGCTCGTAGTTTTCCTAGGCCTTCCTGAAATTTTTTTGTTTTTGATATTTCCTTGAGTTATGAATTTTTTAATGTTATAATCAACTGTTCTTCTTGGAATATTCAGAATTTTGGAAATTTCATTATTACTTTTATTCACTTTATGCAAAGCTACTATCTCAGATCGCTCTTCAATGCTTAAGTTTCTTTTTTTCGTCATTTTTAATGAACAAAAAATACATGCATAATTTACTGACTAGATTGGACACATTGATATTTCACTCATTAAAGTTGATAAGAGACTGAATTTCCATACGTATTCTCTGCTATATGTAAACATTCATGAAAGTCAAGTAAATCAAACCACGTAAATACTCAGTGAATATCACAGTGATTATCGGTGAGCACAATACTGTAGAAAGTCATTAAAAATGAAAACAATGCAAATTCCTCTGTTACAAACGTCGAATACAATAAATGTATCTTGTTATTATTGTTTGTAAGCCCATTCAGTTATAAATACTAGTTACTTACTAATTTTATTAAATATATGTAATTTCAGTTTTTTTTCTAGAAAAATTTCAATTGTAAAAAACGTGAAAAAAAAAAAAATTTTTTTTTTTAATTCTGAGTGGCGCATTTGATAGCTCTTGCAAAATACTACATTTTTTCTTCTGAGAGTTTTTTCTTTAGAGTTGAAAATAAAAAAAATACAGCCCATTTTTTGAAAATCTTTGTTTTTGTATAAAACACCATATAGCTCATAAAAAAATAAAGGTAAAAAAATTTTCCGGATATGGATTTTGTAGCTTTTTGAAAGCTCTATCGAATGGCTTATACAGTTTTTCCATCGTAGAATCCGTTATATAAATAAATCGGGGTCGAATTTGATGTGAAAAAATTAAAAAAAAAACAATTTGTTTATGACGTCACAAGTTGTACAAAAAACAAATAAAATCAACTATGTTTGACAACGTTTGAAAGGTCTTGGTAAGACCTTTCAAATGAGACCCCGCAGGTTTTTCTAGCTCTTATAGAAACTGAGCCATAAAACTCTAAAGTTTTGATGATTTCAGCAAGGGGATGGCAAATCTTTATGGACGGTAGTGTATAACTCTATCTAAGTGTTCATAGATATTGATATCTTAGGTAGTCGTATTTGAGTTAGTCCCTATGCAGAGGCTATTCTATCGGTCAATCAGTGGCGCTTACGCGAGAAGCTTCTTTAGCTATGTAGAATCCTGTCTATATATATATATATATATATATATATATATATATATATATATATACATATATACAGACCAGAATGTAGAGACATGGATAGCTACGTACTAAATCATATCGGCTACTCATTTACTCAAAAATCACTCTTGGAAAGACCTATCAAACATACCCCTGTGCGACTTTGTACGTTGATTTTTACCAGAGAATTTTTTATTGAACTTTAAAATTTTGACTAATTTTACGTCGGGGGCCCAAAGTAGGTGACCGGCAGTGTAGATATGAAAAACATAG